TGTGGGGCCGGCGTAGGGCGTGGCCATTACTAAGACCGGGAGCACCACTGTCAGGGTCAACCCCAACCCAGATGGAGCCAGGAGCGCTGGGACTCCTTTTCCTCCAACGTCCCCTCGTTTTGTGTGCACTTCCTGCCCTGGCACTACAGCGGCTGGGGCCGCCCATGCCCACACTGGGAGCATCCCCAGCAGGGACCCCTCAGAGGCCCTGGGGTACAGGTGCCACTCGGGGCTGGAGTGCTCAGGGAGCTTCGTCACACACTGACCGAATGGCCTCCAAGTGGCCCTGAAAAGCTAGATGGGCCAGGCCAGTACTGAGCGGGGCCAACCGACACCTCTTCCAGCTGGGCAGTCACGTTCAAAACGGAGATCCGGCAGATGAAAACACGACAGGCACAGACCCAGTGCTGCTCTGGGCCCACTCCTGCGACAGCCGGTGCTACCAGGACAGTCGTGCAGTCGGACCCCACGTTGCAGGGCCTCACCAGGCAGGAGTTCGGTTCAGGGGGCTGGCTGCCAAAGTCGCAGAGGTGAGCCAGCGGAGGTGGGAGGCCCCCCGCTCCACCAGGGCGGCCCCCCGCTCCTCCAGGGCGGCCCCTACACGCGGCAGAGCCACCTGGGCCTGGCCAGGGCAGCTGCTTCCCCACCGTGGGGGCCGCGCTCCTGTGGACACGCGCCAAAGGAGCATGGCCCGGCCAGCCCATGTCGCTGGGTGCCTGGGCTCAGCACGGCCCGCACACCCACACCGCCCTCCACAGCTGGCACCGGGGCCGCCAAGATGGCCGGCACCGCGCGGACCTGCTGGAGGAGACCCCCAGGGGCCCAGCCGACCGATTCGGAGGCACCGGGCACAGTCCACCAGGGCCCATCTACCGGAACCAGCCCAGGCGGCCCCGCTCTCCCCACCCGGCCCTCCGCCGTCTGCGGGCTGCACCGTCGTGGTCACCGCGCTGTGGCCAGGCCTGTGCGCGGCGCGCCCGCGGGCTCGGCTCCGCTCGGCGGTTCGGCCCGGCCCGCGCCTTTCCCGGGGCGCCCGCGCTCGGGCCCCACTTCCGCCCGCAGCCCCGGGTCGCGCAGGCCCCCGGCGGCCTCACCGCGGTCC